AGGGCCTTGATCCTGGGCAGTCCTAACTCCTTTTCTTCCTGTCAGGCAGGAGGTATCTGTGTCCAGAAGGAATTTCCTTGTTGATGAGGGTCAAGTGCTAGCTTGGGAAGAAAGCTGAACTCTCTGAGACAATGTCAATCTTCCACTTAGTTGCACTTAGTTGATGGAGTGGCCAGTGTGCGCCCAGTGCTGGGAGGAACTGAAGGAGGATCAGCTGTGGTCCTCCAACCTCAGGACATTTCTGTTGGGCTGAGGCAGTGACTGACATGAGAACAAGTTGCAGTTGTCGTAATCCATAGGGTTTTCATTGATTGCTTTTTTGAAGCAAACCACCAGAACTTTCTTCCTGGGCTCTTTGTCTGGAAGCCCTGCTGAAACCTGCATCGCAGCAACACGTAAGCCTCCACTGACAGAGGAGGGCTGGTGCTGGCTGCGCATGAGGTGTTGGCCAGGCATGGAACCCTGGTCTTCTGCACGGAAGGAGAATTCTAGCACTGAACCATTCCTTAGTAACATTTCCCCTCGACCCCCCAAAAAAAACCCACTGCCATCAAGACAATTCCGACTCATAGCAACCCCCATTGGGTTTCTAAGGTGGTAAATCTTACAGAAGTAGGTTGCCCAGTCTTGCTTCTGCAGAGTGGCTGATGGGTTTGAACCATCAACCTCTGGTTAGCAGTCAAATGCCTTAGGCTTTGTGCTACCAGAGCTCCTTCAGTCCTTAATACTGATTTTGAAATTCTTAGTTAAGGCAAGTGTGCTCTTGTGCTGCCCCCTGCTGTCTCTTGAGCAGTACAGCAGCAATAAGTGGTAAAGCTGTTCTAGATTAGGGTTCTGTTGTTAGTTTTACTTATTTCACTCTTGGAGCTGTTGTAGTCTAGTGAGTCTGTTGATGGAGAGAACCTATTTTTAGGAGTAGTATGAGGGTGCCCCAGAAAGAGCTCTGCTTTCTTTCTGTAGAACTCACAGTGATTGGACCAGATGATCTGAGGACCCCTGAGTTCTGCATTTGAGGACCCCTGAGTTCTGCATTCTGTGATTCTAGCCAGAAACAAACATATGTGTATGTATATATGTATGTATGTGTGTGTGTGTGTGTGTGTGTGTGTATATATATATATATATATATATATATATATATAGTGAAACCTGTGAGAGCTGGAATTCAATAGGACTGCCTTGTTTTTCCAGGGCCCTCCAGTTTTCTGCCTTTGACAGGATGCAGTCTTACCACTTTTCTATTGCTCATTTTAGTGGGAAATATTTGTGTTTTCCTCTCCTAACTGGTTTCTGCCTTACACAGGTTCCAGCTTTTATATGTCCATGTCAGATAAGCCAGGTATGAGCAGTAAATAATTTAGATCTTGACTGAGATAGGGTCACCTGGCCAGATGACATGCAATATGAGTAAGCATTTGGCATTTTCAAAATACTGTGCATTCAGTGAGATTAACTAATTCTGGAGCTTTTCCTGTGTCACTCCAGGTGGCCTAAAACAGGAATCTTGCTGTCATTTGTTTGGAGGCTACTATCAGATCCCCCTCCCATTAGGCTCCTCCACTTCTCTAGGACTTAACCTTTGAAATTAAAAATCCATATGAGGTTCTCTCTTAAGGCTTCCTAACATGTTACATCCTGTGTCTTAAAGAATGTCTTGAGCTGCACGTGCAAGTGTAATCCTCTATCAACACAGTTTGCATGTAGAATATCAAAAACTGTGCTTTGCACCCTTGAAATCACTGCCACTGCCCTTTGGAGAGGGACTCTCCCTGAGCATTCTTCTGGTGTGGTGTCAAGGGTCTGAGCTGCAGGGGTTGCCATGTCTCAGTGGAGGCGGCTTCTTTCTTCTCCCAGGTGGCAGTGCCCCACCTCTTTCATAGCTTATCACTAGACTCGGAGGCCACTTGTTCCTCGTGCATAGCTCCTGGTAAGCCTTCCAGCTGCACTCTCACCATGGTCCCAGCTCTGCCTGCAGAGAGGCCCCAAGAATAACAGCCTGGCATGTGGTGCTGTGTGCCTAACCTTTGTCCTTGCGTTCCCGTCTTTGTCCTTTCTCCACTGATCCCTCCTTGCCGTACTCTATCTTCTCTGTATAGATTGTAAATGGACATTAAGTGGTTGAGGGAGATGTGAATAAGGGTGGTGTGAAGGCATGGGAACCCCACCGGGTTCAAGATCCATTGGTGTTTTCTGATGAGGAGGAGGAGGAGGAAGACCTGCTGGATTTCATGTACAAGTATAAAGCACCTCGAAAGACGGATTTGCCCCTAGAGGTACACGGTTGTCTGAGCTGTGGGCTGGAGCATGTGTTTGCACAAGGGCTTTTCCCTGGAGATCTAGGTATCCTGGGGGTGGCATTTCTTGGGGCATCCAGCATTTCCTGAGTGCCTGGGGTGAGAAGATCTCCCTCCATTCAACAGGCAGGATGGGCTACTGTGTGGCATCCAGCTACTTGCAAAGGGGGAATAAAACAAAAGAAAACAAAACAAAACAAAAACCCCGAAAACCACACTGCTATTGAGTTGGTTCAGACTCATAGTGACCCCTTTTGGGTTTCCAAGGTGATAAATCTTTATGGAAGTATATTGCCCAATCTTCTTTCTGCGGAGGGGCTGGTGAGTTGGAACCACCAACCTTCTGGTTAGCACTCAAATGCCTTAGGCATTGCACCACCAGAGCTTCTTAGGGGGAATAAAAAGGTCCTATTAATTTCCTCTCCTATTAGCCTTGGAAACCCAAGAGGGGTTGCTATGAGTTGGGTCCAACTCGATGGCACATAACATTAGCTACTACCTTAGATCACGGGCAAGTAAAAAGCAACCCACATGAGTGTTTTCGGGGAAGAAAAACTCAGAATGTGTTATGTGACAAGTTTTAAATAAGGCTTATTTATCACTGTATCACCAAGACACAGCATAGTGCCAACTACAAAGTAGATGCTCATAAAATATTATTAAAGGGTCAAAAACCTTTAAAGTTTTTAAACAATACACTTTGGTAATACACGTTACCAAAACAATGTACTTGGTCTATGTACAGTTGTAAATGTGGATGGAGTGTAGCAGCAGGAGGGCCAAGCCTAGAGCCTCACGAGCCTTGCTCTAGGATGTGGGTAGTGAGTCAGCTGCCTTGAGCTCAGGCACAGGGTGAGCAGAATTGGAGGACCTCAGAAAGTCTTTCTCCTTGCCTCTTCATGCCTTTTCTCTTCTTCCTCATCTGCTGAATATTGAGGCCTGAGAGTCCTTCTGAGACAACCTGGGAGTCCCCTGTGCACACAGAGACCTCTTTGAGGATCAGGGGGGAAATATTTTGAAATGCTCCCCTCCACAACAGTGACCAATCATTCCTCTTCACACTAGGACTGTAGTTATTACCACCTCAAGATGCATGAGCTCACCAGATTGCATTCCAAGCTGTGAAGCACACGGACTAATTTTTAAATTAAAGGGTTTGATAAAAGATAGTCTGGGTTTGGACACTATTTGAGGAGTTCATCTGGACATCACAGCCTGGGCAGTCCCACGGTGGGGAAACGAGCCCAGCTAAGAGTGGTGGGAAGGTGGCCAAAGCATACGAAGGCCTGGGGGTTTGTGCCCTTTTGTTTTTGCTTTTAAGTAAACAGCCTGCCAAGGGACAGGTCACTAAAACTGTAGGTCTCACCAATTATTCTTCTACCTCCTCCAGAGGTGGCTGGTAAGCACTTCCCAGTCTCAAGGCTGCAGGATGAGGATTCAGGAAGTGAAAGGTCCTTGTTTCATCACTCACTCCCTCCTACGTGCCTCCTGGCACTGGGCCTTCTGGCACTGGGCTAATCATTGGGAAACAGTGGTGAGCATGACAAGGCCCTGCCTACAGGAAGATGTCCGGTGGGGGCGGGGGAGAGTGAGCAGAGAATACTCACCACACCATGCGTATGAGTGGTCCTCTGACACGGGGCATGTGCAGAACGAAGAGGGGGATGAAGCCTGGTTGTGTGCCTGGGCAGTGGGGAAAGGGGCTTAAGTGCTCGATGCTAGCCAAAAGGTTGGTGATTTGAACCCACTCAAAGGCATCTCAGGAGACAGGGTTGGCATTGGCACTCTGCTTCCAAAAGGTCATAGCCTTGAAAACTCTATTGAGCCGTTCTACTCTGCACACGTGGAGTTGCCATGAGTCTGTATCAACTTGAGGGCAACTAACAATAGCAACAAAGAGGACTAGAAATATGAAGACAAAGAAGGGCTTCCAGTCAGAAGGAACAAAGGCTTGAAAAGACACAGGGTAAAAAGAAAAAGAAGATCAGTACAGAAAGAAGTGGGCCAAGATAGGGCTTGCGAATAGGTCAATGGTGTGAACCCCCTTGGGTGCTAGGCTAGGAGGAAGACTTTCTTTTATTCCATTGTAATAATAACTCTGCCTGGGATACGTGTATCCCATGAAGGAGGGATCCCTTGCTAGTCATTTATGGAGGAGATAAGGCAGAACTCTACATTTAAAGGTGGTGCTTGCCTTTGTGTGTGGTTTGCTGTGCACTAAAGGGTCTCACATCCAGAAATGGGACTGGAAATTTGGTGATGGAAATTTTCAGCATGTGCCCAGAAGCATGAGTCTGGTTCCCAAAGGAAATAACAAAAATAAGAGGAGAGGTGGGGAGGCATCTCTCTGCTGAGTCACTTGTTGCAATCATTTTACTTCCAAGGCAAAAACTAAAATGATGTGACGTCCTTCTGCACAACCATTCTCTTGGGAGATCTAGGGACTTTGGCCAGGGTGAAGTAGCCGAGGGAGTTGCTGGCCTTCTGAATTAGCTCAGCTTCCTGTTGCTGTTCCAGGCTGCGACTCTGGTGGCTGACTCCTGTTGTGAAGACTCAGAGTGGCGCCCTCCCCCCCGCAGCCAGCTACCTGGTACACAGTTGAATTCCAAGAGCTGGACGCTCAGCACAAACCACTCAGGTGCTGTCCTCACGAGTCCACATTTATGCCAAACTGAGGGATGACTTTCTTTCTGTTTTCTCTATCAGGCACCGCCTAGAACCTTTCGATTTCGCTTCAGGAAGAAAAGTACCTCATCCTCGGCCACTGAGACCACGTGAGTGAGATGAGCCAACAGCACCGGGATACACAGAATGTTTCTTCTCTGCCTTAAAGAGCTATTCACTTGTAACATAGAAATCTGCAAGCTGGGTGTGCTTGGCATGTGCAACCTCACAGACATGGCCTTTTCTCTCTCCTCTTCCATTTTTAGGAATTTTTTTTTCCTTTTGTTTTCTGGGGAGAGAATAAAGGTAAAGGTAGTATGATGTGTGAGGGGTAACTCTTAAGTCCTCTGACATTAGTAGTTTTCCAACTGAATTGTCATTACAGACAGTGGTATTTTCAGAAATGTTAAGAGACTTGCCCTCACATGGCTGAGATGTACATTTGTAATTTATCTGTTGCATACTTAGTTTTTAGTTCTGTACATGCAAAAAAAAAAAAAAAAAAAAGCCATTTTTTAAAAAAACTTTTGTTTTTGTTCTTGGTACTAATACTTTGGACTAGGATGTACATATTTATGGCTTTTGGCTTAATATAATGGACTTGCAAGGGCTTCCGGAGATTCTGATGTGTAAGGAAACGGCAAAAACAGAAATGTAAAAAAATTATTTCAATTCCAGAGTATGTCTCAGATGTGCTTATGAAGCTCCCAAATGCAGCTCTAGTAAAATGTCCCTTTTCCTGCAGAGCTGGTTCGCCTGTAGACAGCTTAGCCAACAGACCAGAGAAGTTCAGACAGCATTTTAGCAACAGAGTTGAGTGTGTTGGGAGGTCAAAGGAACAGCCTGGGGTAAGAGAAGCAAATGTTCCCCTTGGATTCAGGATCTGGAAGCTTCGGAATCCTTTCAGGGGATTTAACATTGCCTTAGGCAGGTGACCCACCTTTGGGATGTGGACTCAGAGCTGTTGTGATGGTTAATTCTGAGGGTTTCAAAAGTGGTTGGCAAATGACTATTTCTCTTTCTCAGTAACCAGTGCTGCAGCTCATCTCCCCAAGTAGAGGGGACTACAATCAGAATACTGTATCCTGTTCAGAGTACTGTCTGAACTTCTCTGGTAGAGCAAAGCAACTAGAAGGCCATTTTGTTTCAGATATGCTGATACATCTGAGACCTGTGTAACAATAAAAATGGTGGGTTCTAGGAAGGTTTTAGAGGCTGAGATCTCTTAGGGTAAGACTTGCTCCTCAGATCCATGGGCAGCTGTGGCTCCTGCTCTTTTGTCCCCTTCCTGACCAGGTCAGAAGGTGGAGAGAGAAGTCAATGCTCATGGGTGCTCTAGATCTTAATGGACATTTTATACAAGCCTAGGTCACCTAATAAAGGAAGAAAGCATTATCTGAGTGGACTCCCTACTTAGACTGAGAACTTTATCTGTAAAGGAGAAGAATCTGGTTTAAATAACATTTTGGTCTGAGGTAGCTGCTCTCCCCTCTGGGAGCTGAGCCTAGATATAGGACTAGTATATTTGTGCTTAGAGTTGGTGCTTTTGTTAAGTGTAATGCATGCAGTGGTCACAACCCAGTTACTCATATTTGGATTGTGTGTGTTTGTAGACATACCCTGACGACTAGAGAATTAACATTACATACCACATAGAACTTACTCTGAACCGGCATAAACAGGCCCATTAAAGACTGTTCCATTACTGAGCTATGCGAACATACAACAGTGGTCTTTGATGACATGTTAGCTGGATTTTAGTCACCTCAGAAAGGGCTGTGCTTGAAGCTGATTGTTGCCAGATATGCATACTTCAATCCATTCTTGCCACAGTTCCTCTGAAGTCATTTTGTAATTTACTAAAGGACTTAGGAAAATAAATCTAAAAGCAAGTGTGTGGTTGAGAGGGCAAATAGAGGCCATCTGTTCACTGTCTATTCACTGTCTGTGCCAGACACCAATACTTAAACCTGCTAGCAAAGACAGAAAATTTGTTTTCTTTGAGTTCACTGAATAGCTTCAGACAGAGGAAAACATATTCTTTAAAATGTTAGTTGGGAGTACCCAGAATTATGAGGAAAAAAATGCAGAAAAACTTAAGCAGCTTTTTAGCAACTTTTTTTTTGGAGGGAGGGGGGCTAAAATAACAAATGCCTTTAGCAGCAGGAATTAAAATCCTTTTGTGCACAAGCTGTATTTTAACCATTTTACAATGAAAGTTTTAACAAGTACAGGCTGTCAAGTTTGCACTCAATTATGCCAAAAAAAAAAAAAAGTTTGAAGCAATCTACTCTCAGACAAGCTGTATTACTTCTCATTCAAGAATTTGAATATATATAAAGGTATCTAAACTGCTGTCTTAATGTAAATCTAACTATTTTTTTCTTCTTTTATTGATTAGGGAGTTGGTTTCTCTCTTAAAGACACTCACTGTATAACTGAGAGCAGCTGTTATTATTTCTGGCAAAATGTGTTTACTGTTTCAACAAGCTGTATATTTGTGTATGGACTGACATAAAATGTGAATGTCTACAAGTGTACACATAGTGGTGTGCTGTTCTGTCTAGAGGATACAAGTGTTTTTAATTTGCAGATTTACAGATACAGGCTGTTTTCAAGATACTAGCTCAAAAGTCTATAATTTTCATGTGTTAACTTTTAGTTAACTGCCATTGAGCACTTGGTCTGTTTTGGATGAGGGGAGATGTGGTCTTGTACTTGTAAACTGGAGAGTTTAGTCATAATCCTTTCTAGCTTCACATGAATAGTTTGCTCCCTTCGCCGGCCTGTGAAATGTGTGTTCTCTGTAGTAAAGTGTCCATGTGTTTGTGATGAGTGCTCGTCCACCACGACCATCATGGAGTTCCTTCCTAGTTCTTCACCTTGCAGTATTTGAAACGGCAAAGGATGTACTTCATCCTCTGGCAGTGCACAAAGAGCTCATCTTCTGGATCGTGACTGTGCACACTTCCTCCAGTTCATTTCATGTAGTCCCTACAGAACGATCTGTAATAAAGTTGTATACTGGACTGTGTATCAGAGGGATGTAAAACTACAGTATTCCAAAGGTTGAAGTTCTGCTGTTTTGTTCTAATGCCTGATATACATCTTGAATAAAGTCTTAACATTTTTTTCTTTAAAAAAAAAATCTTTGTAATGTTGGGCTTATGAGTAAAGAGAAAAACAAAACTTGTGTGGAAGGTAGCAAGGTGCTCAACCTTGCTAACTGGCCTTCTGACTTGGCCCCATGACTACTGTGCTGGATTGTTGGGAGGAGGGAAAAAAAAATCAAAACCAGTTGATCACACAAAGATTTTTAAAAGACAGATCACTATGGAAATCAGGTAGCTATGAAAATACCAGAGTAGTTAATCTGGAAGCCAGAGTTTTAATTCTGTAAATGAACTTTCATCATTTTCCTTCTCTGAACCTGTTTCCTCTATTGGAAAACTATGTGCATGTGTGTGTGTGTGTGTGTGTATACCAATGTGGGTCAGAATAGGGTAGTATATCTGGAGGTGCTCTGTGGATAGTATGTACACCTTCATCCCTACTGCAGCCCCACCCTGGCTTTAAAAAGCAAGTGGTACAACAAAGGTATGTTTGGTGGTCATACAGATTTGGAAACTCAAAATTGATCACAGGTGCATTTTCTTTGCCTTTACAGTTTTACACTCTACATGTTTGACAGAACTTCAAAACAAAGGACTGTAAGACAAAGCACAGCAGCAGGTAAAACAGCAGACTCAGAGGACTGAGGAGGGGGAAGAGGAGATAGGAAGAAAGACTGAAAATCCATTCATTATTCATTTCCTGAGCTAGGGCAGCAGAACTGACATTAACCAGGTTAAAGAACAGGAAAGCAAAGTTACAAAATGTAAAAGTTGTATCAGTACAGTGTCATGAATATTTAGTATTTCTAGTGCTAGATTACAGTTGTAGTGCTGGCTGATTTACATACGAATTTTCATTTATTAGAAGACTGAGGGAAATACACAGGATCCCAAGGAGTAAGACCTGCGTTCTGTGACTTATTAGCTGAACTTTTGGGTAATTTATTTAACACTCATAGTTTTCCATTTCCTTAAAATTTAAATGAAGGATAAATAATAATATCTCCTTTGCAAGGCTGGTATGAGAATTAGTAGTTATGTAGATAAATGCCCAGCCCTATACTGGGACACAGCAGGTATTCAATAAATTATTCTTTTACATATAATTAAGTATGTACTTTAGGTAGACCTTTTAATTTAATGCAGAATGTTACCCTGTCAAACAATGAAGTCAGTGTTGATGATAATAAGCCCTACTACTCACAAAACAAAAACAGTCTGTATGAATATTCCCTGTCCCTAAATCATGCCTGTTAGCCCTTCTGCTTTCAGTCCATCTCTGGATGCTGTGGTCCCGATTGCTGGTCCTCCTCTCTACCTGTCCTGTCCTGGCTTAGAGGAAAAACCAGGGCCCCCTCAGGCCCCCATAGCAGACCCTGTAGTCCACATTTGCATTACAGAGGTCATGGAGACTATGGCCAAACGTGCTCCTCCCCAGCGTCTACAGGCACCAGTTCCATCACACTACCAGAGGTAAAGGGGAGTGGGCAGGAGCCAGGCAGGTGAGAATAGATGTGGAAGCCTTGTAACTGGCTGACTTCTGCTGTCTCATAAGCAGTATGAAATGCAAACCCAGCAAAACAGAATGTTAGTCTAATTTTAGGCTTTAATGCATCTCAAATCAAATGTTCTTTATTAAATGCATCCCTAAAAACACACACACATCTGGCTTTCTGATATCAGAATATTCTATTGTCATCCCTTAGTTTTCTTTTAATGCACACACTAGTTTCAAGGAATCCCCCTTATGATCTGATATGCCACAAAACTTCAGTGTGGTTTATTTTTTTTTTTAAACCATATTCTATTAAAAGAGGAACTTCATCTTATCACCTATTGTATCTGAAAGAGTAACTGATGCACACTTCTATTTAGTAGTGGTTTTCAACCAGGCAACGTTCTCTATTGTTTTAAAATGCTTCCCAGGCGATTCTGATAGGACAGTGAACTACTGCCTTAGAACAGAACCAGTCAACTGAATTTTACTCAGTGCCTCTTACCTGCCCCTCTCCATGTATACCACACTTAATTCTTACATCATTTCTAAAAGGATTGAGGCAACTTTTTTCCCCCTTAATTTCGACAACGCATGTTTGGAAATTTTGGGTAAAAGTTTATCCTTACAAATGAAATCTCAAGTGTGTAAACTAGTTTTCAAAAAAACAGACGATCTTTCAACACTTGGGAAGAAAGATTTGTCTTTAATAGTCTCCTCTGTTTCATAAGTGGGTATGATGAAGGCTATGTGGTAGTTATGTTTGTGTGTCAACTTGGTTGGGCCTGGTTGAGTGGCTGGGCAGCTGGTGGTAGTTATTCTCCATGATGAAACTGGCAATCAGCTCCATGGTGGGATCTATCACAAGCCTTTGGGTATGTGGTCTGCTTCCCATATATAAGCAGTAGCCTTGGGAATGGTCTCCAGTTTATGGCACGCTTGGACCCTGCATGTAGCTGTCTTTGTTGAGCAGCCTGCCATGCTCTGCCTACCTTGAGACTTAAAACGGACTTAATGGCCTGCTGTGTGATTTGGTAATACCGGGACTGTGCCTTTTCACTTGTTAAACTTGGGCTTGGCAGCCTAAGCAGCCAGCAGCTGTCTGAGTGAAGAAAAAGCCTCTAGCTTTAGTGGGCCGGGAACTGGACGCAGTGCTGAAGCCCAAGGCTAAGGGGCTTTCACCCAGTCTCTAGAGCTTGGCACTTTGAACTTGGACTTAAAGCCTCCAAATTGTAAGAATAAATTCCTGTTTGTTAAGGCCATCCCATTTGTGGTATATTCTTGTCAGAGCAGCACCAGGTAACCAGAACAGGCTATTTCATTTCATTTATTCTTGGCGCCATGAAAATTCCTGTTCTAATAAACAGATTTATAACAATGGGAACTGTTATAAATACAATGAACCAGGCCCCAAATGTCAAGTCTGTTGCCACCCTCATGCTCATCTAATTTGAAAATGTTCAAATGACTATTTTTTGCTTCACACTCCTAGTTGCTAACAGAACTTAAGTGGGCCAGGAGTGGGCTTCTGATGTAGGACAGTTGATCCTAACACTAGAGGTAACCGCTGGTGAAAAAAGTAAGATGGCCTGATTAGAAACAGTGGTGTAGTGGATAAGACATTTGAGTGCTGACCAAAAGATCAGCAGTTCAAACCCACCAGCTGCTCTGCAGGAAGAAGATGAAGCAATCTATTTCCATAAAGATGTAAAGCCTTAGAAACCCAATGGGGGTCGCCATGAGTCAGAATCAACTCAATGGCAGTGGGTTTGATTTTTTTGGTTTTGGCCCAATTAGTCTCCTGGCAATTAGAGACTAGAGATAGGGTCTAAGGGCCATGCTGTAGAAAAGAACCTCAAAGGTGCAAGCTAAAATTATTATGAGGGAGAAGAAACTATGAGTAAGCAATAACTGTGAATTAGAGAGGTCAGTGGATAGAGAGAGAATAGAGCCAACAATGTAAAAAAAAAAAAGCTGAGTCACGTGCACAGCAAAGCCCAAGCCTAAACAGCTACCACTTCCTGCTGCTGAGGCCCCTGGAGAAGCCTCAGACCCAGATTCAGTTTTCAGTGTCCGCTCTTCCTATGACCTGAGAATTAGTTTTGGGTGGCTGATGAGGCGGTGAGATGGTTCTTGAGTTCCAGGCAACTTAATGTCACAATGAGTGAGTTAACACATTGGGTTTAGAGTCTTTTCATGTTTGTCCTATCTTAAGATTAGTTAAGCTATTACCATTTGTTAAAAATAATGTACAATATTAAACTGTTTCCCTGATCAAATCTAGTAATGTTTAATTCATTAATTTTTAATGTTGGTATTATATGATTATATACATATATCAGTACAATTCACATCAAGTTTTATACTTATTCATCTCTGCAAAGACATACATAAGGATACACATTCAACAGCTGGGAATTCACAGAACTGCAGTCTATACTTTCAGGTTTGTGCGATCATGGTACATCTGGTAAGGGTCATTAGCATACCAGTTTCGCCTCTTCCAGAATGATGTGGTCATTTTATCTAAGAGTTTACTCTGGGTTTTATTGCAGAAGACAAATTCCCTCAAGCGTTTCTTCCTTGCAGCTTTCTTCTTCCATAGTTTTTTCTTATAACCAGCCTGTTAGATAGTATTACAAAGACATTAAAAACTTTGTATTATGTAGGAAACAGATATTGTCACTACTTATAGCTTATTGACCAATAGGAACAGAGAACAGACTTCCACTGGGGCTGGCAAGTTCTTTAGAAAAATGTGACTGTTATTGAGAGGTGGGTGGAAAAAACATGTAATTTGAAATATTTGTAGTAGTTTTTGAAAAAAGACTGCTTTAAAATACAGAAATAAAGCAAAATAAAACCTTTGTAGCTGGTGAAGAAGACAATAATATATAACAGCTAACTTTGTATGCGTTTTCTCATCTCTTAACAGTCAACAACCTACTATTACTCTCATTTTATAGCTTTTTTTTTTAAATTGTGATTTGGGTGAAAGTTCACAGAGCAAATTCACTTTCCATACAGCAGCTCACATACACTTTGTCTCATGACATCCACTACAATTTACCACAATGCAACAGCTCCCCTCCCACTTCCTCCCCATAGTTACCTCTTCCCTGTGTCCTTCCCTCCATGCACTCCTGCCCCCTGAGCTGTCTCCCTGTGCATACACAGCCCTTCTATTCTCCCATGATTGTTCTTTCCAAGGAGTGTATCTGCCTAGTGTAAATGTTCACCTCGTATGCCTGTCTTTTGTTTGTCTGGAAGCCACAGGAATGGGTTCCATTATAGACCTGAAAGGCAGCTAGAGGCCATAGTCTCAGGGCTTCCACCAGGCTCTATCTCAGACCAGCAAACCTGGTCCTTTTTTAGTTTTTTTTCTAAACGATTTTGAGTTTTGTTCCACATTATTCTCCCTCTCTATCCAGGATCTCCTGCATAGATCCCCCTCCAAGTGGTTGACAGTGGTAGCCGGGCACCATCTAGTTCTTCTGGTCTTATAGTTGTATAGGCTGAGGATCGTATAGTGTACTAGTTGCTTGGACTGTTTCCTTAAATCTTTGGTCTTCTTCATTCTTCTTTGCTCTAGACGAGGAGAGACCCACCGTTGTATCTAGATGACTGCTTGCAAGCTTTTAAGATCCCAGTCGCTACTCGCCAAAGTAGGATGTGGAATAATAGTAGTTTTGTGTACTATGTTTTGCTAATTGAGCTTGATGTCCTCTGTGACTATGGTCCTGAGCCCACAGGTCCAACTACTTGCTCCCCCTGGGTAGCTGGCTGTGGCCCAGAAATGACCACAACCTTGTCCCTTGTCAGCTCTACTATATACCTGGGAATTCTTACAGAATATACAAACACACTTGTAGAACCATTGTCTGCCAACCATATACATGGTCTTGGGCACACTCTCCCATACACAGACATACCTAATAGTTCAGCCTGTCTACCCATCTATCCACCTGTATATCCATGTTTGCCTTCACTGACAACCAACTGTCATTGGTTAGTAGCCCAGTGTCTTACCCACTTCACTATACTGGCTCTTAACTACTACATTATACTCTTTTTCCTAATGGGAGAAGGTGAAGGAAGTACTGGGTATAGTGATAACATTTATGTTTATTTAAAAAAACAAAACCAAACTCACTGCCATTGAGTCAATTTACATTCATAGCGACCCCCGCCTGGGTTTCCAAGGCTGTAAATCTTTACAGAAGCAGACTGCTCCATTTTTCTTCCATGGATGTTCATTTAAGGGGACTGGCTATACAAGGGCTGAGAAATACACTTCTTGAATATAGTGCTTCATTTATTTTTTCTACACACTAGGGACTAATTTTTAGAGGAAGTACTTTTCTAAAGAATAATGAATACTGTAAAACTATTATTAGGGGTGGTAAGGGAATGGTTAACTCAAATATTTAACCCCCAATTACCATATATACCATCCACGCATTATTAACTCTAAAGAATTAATTTCTTATTAAAACAAAATTAGACTACATATAAAAACTTAAGGCTCCTTGGTGGTGCAGTGGTTACAGTGCTTGGCTGCTAACCAAAAGGTTGGCAGTTCAAATATACCAGTCACTTCACAGGAGAAAGATGTGGCAGTCTGCTTTCATTTGGCCTTGGAAGCCCTATAGGGCAGTTCTACTCTGTCCTATTGGGTCGTTAAGAGTGGGCATTAATTTGATGACAATTTTTTTTTTTTTAATAAAAACTATAATCACAGCCTGTTTGAACTAGAAGAGTCCTCAGTCACCAGCCTCCTTGATGATTGGCCAGGGGAGGTGAGCCCAGAAAGTAGGCTGTTGATAAGAGGTCTTGGCTTTAAGCCAAGGGCTCTTTATGGCATTACACTAACTGAACAAAAGCATAGCTCGTCTCTGAGAAGGTGCCTTGGGTTTTTGACATACGTTAAGTGTCCTTATTGTGACCAGCAACTTCTACAGTACAGAGATGCTCAGAAGTAAAGAGGGCTTATTTAAGAGTTCTGGTTTGAACTTAGAAGGGGGTCTATATAGGAGATACTGGATAGAGAGGGAGAACAATATGGAACAAAACTCAAAATCATTAATTAAAAAAGAAGGACCAGGTTTGCTGGTCTGATAGAGCCTGGGCGAATCTCTGAGACTATGGCCCCTAGCTGCCCTTCAGGTCTGTAATGGAACCCACTCCTGTGGCTTCCAGACAAACAAAAGACAGGCATATGAGCTGAACATTTACATTAGGTAGATACACTCCTTGGAGAGATCAATCATGGGAGAATAGAAGGGCTGTGAATGCACAGGGAGACAGCTCAGGGGGCAGGAGTGCATGGAGGGAAGGACACAGGGAAGAGGTGGTTATGGGGAGGAACTGGGAAGAGAGCTGTTGCACTGTGGGAGATTACAGTCAATGTCACGAGACAAAGTATATGTGAACTACTGTGTGGAAGATGAATTTTTTCTGTAAATTTTCACCCAAATCACAATAAAATTAAAAAAAAAAAAAAAAAAAGTTCTGGTTTGAAAATGCTAGAGATAGGGCATTTGCTAGCCACTGCTTCCAATTTTACATTCAAAGGCTCAAACCCAAATCCTCATATTCATGCAATAATTTTCCAGTTTGAAGGCCAAACCGAGTCTCTCCACATGGACCTCTGACTTATAGACACTAAATTTGTTCTCTTGCCCACCACGACCAATATCCTCTGAAGACTATTCGGTGGCCACTGGGAAAATGCTTGAAACTTATGTAATCTATCTCTAGGTTCACAAATGTGAAGAGGGAATAAACAGTAAGCATTAGGGACAGCTGAGGGAAATGGCCACAGAAAATACTTTCAGTTTTTATGCATTAGTATGAATTAACCCATTTTTTTTTTCTTTTTGATTTTGATGGAGGCCATTCTGTACATAGAATACTTTCTGGACCACTGAGTGGGGGCTAGGAATTATGACTAGAGAGCTGGATCAGGCCATTTAGAGCACACAGGGGCTCTAACCCAAACCCACTGCCATGAGTTGAGTAGAATGGCCCCATAGGGTTTCCAAGGCTGTAAATCTTTACAGAAGCAGACTGCCTCATTTTTTCCCTGTGGACTCCTGGTGGATTTGAACCGTGACCTTCTGGTTAGCAGCCAAATGCTTTAACCACTGTGCCACCCAGAGCTTCTTATGAGGGCTCTGGATCTCACAGAAAGGGATATAGAAAGGCAGGAAAGGAAAACCACCCATTTTATTTAATCTAGGGCTAGCCTAGGACCTGGAAATAATTACTATAACAACAAAGGGGAGAAAATATTTCCAGTGATCCAAAATTCACAAGACTCAGAACTATTAGGACTTCAGTTCAGCTACTTATTGATTACATAAGCTTGTTGACAGATGTGGGACACTACCAAAGTATTGCTTCAATGGAGAAATGAGCTGAAGAATTCCATTAACCCACAGACCTACAAATTTAGGATTGATTGTAAGATAGGGGATAATACTTCCAACCTTTCAAACAATGAGAAAGTTGTACCAATAATCCCCCCCGCCCACACACAGGGAAATAGATTTTGATCTTTAAAGACATTTAACTTCCAAATAATAAAAGGGAATTAGTATTTGAACAGGTATTAAAACTCAAAGGTGGTCCTGCAGAACTCTGGTCTTAATGCGCATGTTCCCTTAATTATCAGTTACTCTGTTTTTGTGCATAAGAACATAAATGAGAAAGTTCACATTCATGCTCACCACACCCTGTGGCAGAGAACAAAGTACTAAGAATTTTTCAGTCACCCTTAGAGGCTATGGACCTGGCCAGAGTAAGAGAGTTCTGTCTCACATAGCCCCCAATTACATACACCTATGGAGCAAAAAGGAACTCTGGTGATGCAGTGGTTAAAGCACTTGGCTGCTAACCAAAGGTTGAGAGTTCAAACCCACCAGCTGCTCTGTAGAAGAAAGATGACACAGTTCATTTCTATAAAGATTTATAGCTTCGGAAACTCTATGAGGCAGTTCTACTCTGTCCTACAGGGTTGCTACAAGTTAGAATTAATGTGATGGCACTGGGTTTGGTTTTGGTTACAGGGCAAAAACTTATTATTATTATTATTATTTCAAAAAAAGTGTTTGGGATTAATGTTCTGCCGTAAAAAGTAAGCTACCTGGAGGATCTAATCCAAGGCAGGCTGAAAGGCATTTTAGTCCCCAAATGTGGGTCATGAACTAAGTCTAGGCTGAAGTCTACTCTGTTGCTATTAACACTCTGCTGCTTAAACAAAGCCTCCAAACAGGTTATTGCATGTAGGAGGTTACAAAAGGCTCCTGGTGATCATCAGATAAACCAGACATGTAAAAGACCTGAGGCGAATCCTGTCCTACAGTAAAGACTTTTGCCACTGTGAATATTTTATGAATGTGGGTGTTTAGTGGATGCCTACACATTTCCTTCACATGGATTCACTTACAGAGATGCCTTCAAAGCCAGTACTTAAGCCCAGCGCTATAAAATCTATTGGTAAGATAGAGGAGAATATGCCAGTGCTGAGGCTACCTGAATTCTGCTTCATTTTGATCTCTTGCTACACTCCCTTCTCAATCAAGTAATAGTGTACAGACTCACCTTTCTCCTTAGCCAAAGGCCAGAATGAAGTCGAAGGAATCTATAGACAACAGCTTTCACAGTCTTTCTCTTTCCTTTTCTTGCGCTGAAGTATGTTACAGTTCTGACTGGTAGCATCAGCACATTAGGAAGCAAGGGGGCCACTCTAAAATACATTTTTAAAAATTTAACTTAGCAGTTAGACTAATGAAGGGATAAAATCTATTTTTCTACTTAGAAATAAGTGAAGCATCATACTAGAATGGAGCTGACTTTAACCACTGTTACTTTGAATAATCCATAACAGCAAGGCATAAAAATTGCTATTATCACCAATTTGGAAGCCTTCTATAATCCACCTCCCTCCATGGCCATGACAGATTTATCATATTATATTGTAATCGTTTATTTCTCATCTATCAGCCCATCAGACTGCAAACTCTTTTAAAGACTTTAACTTATTCATTGTATCCTTTTTGCTAAGTACAGTGCTGGGTACCCAGGTGTGCTTACTAAAATATTTGCTGACTGAATGAAAACTACACACAACCCAGGCTTATAAGCTCTTGTTCATCCTCCACTTTGGCTGACGGCTCTCCATCCAGGAAACCGATATATAAACATCAGAAGGGTGCTCCCTTGGCAGTCCCTGCATATAGATGTCAATCACATTCTCCCACTCAATCAGAAAATGTGTGTATAATAAACTGTAGGTAGACTAAGAGTATCATCTACTTCTAAGATGTCTTTGCAGGCGTGAATATTTTAGAATTTATGCTCAAATGTCATATTTACTGAAATACACTCTACCTGTTAAGAACTGCTGCAGTACGCCCACACATCAGGTTTCCAACAGGTGTAGTAAGTGTGGGAGCAGAAGAAACAACTGGTGTTTGAACATGACTAAAATGTCGGGCAGACAATGCAGAAATAAGACAGGCATTCTTGGCACAGTTTTGATAGGCTGAAGATGCCAAAATATTCAAGGGCCGTAGTAAGATTCCTATAAAGATAGAAGCATATACACTTAATATGATATTTAAAACACAAATCCAGATATTTAAAATTAAATCATGAATCAAAGCAACTAACTACTAAACGTAATTAGTGTGTCCTAAGCATCACTCAACTGGAAAACCTTTTACTAACTTTATTGAGGTATAATAGATATACCATAAAATGACCTGTATTATGTGTCTAATTTAATGATTTTTAGTAAATTTAGAGAGTTGTGTTTTCAGCACGACAATATAGTCTGATGTGACCTAGCTCTATTCCAGCACTGGGGAACAAAATACACGTAACATTAACCATCCCTTGCTATTCATAAGGTTTTCAGTGGCCAATTTTTATTTTATTTTCTTCAGAAGTGGACCTGGCCACATCCTTCTTCCTAGTCCGTCTAAGTCTGGAAACTCTGCTGATAACCTGTCCATCTTCAGTGACCCTGCTGCTATTTGAAATACTGGTGGCATAGCTTCCAGTATCACAGCAACATGCAAGTCATGACAAAGTGAAAGGTGAGTGGTGGTCATGTTGTTACTTTGGTCATGTTGTCAGAAGGGACCAATCCCTAGAGAACGAAATCATGCTTGATAAAGTAGGTTAGTTTAAAAAAAAAAAGAAAGCCCTCCAATGAGATGAATTCACAAGTGGCTGCAATTATGGGCTGAAGCATAGGAATGATCATGAGATGGTGCAGAACCAGGCAACATTTCATCCTATTCTACATAGGGTCACTGAGTCAGAACTGACTCGATGGCATGTAACAGCAACACTCCCCACCCCCAGATCTTATATACTGGTGAGAACTATACAGAGTAAAATAACAGAAGATGTGCTTGAGCTCTCCTCTAGAAAATGAACAAGCCATGAGCTGAGGAGGAACTGAATCCAGGCAGGAAGAACAATATAAGCAAAGATGTAGGAGCTGAAACAAACCCATGGTGAGATGGCAACCATCCCTGCCACAAAGGCTGACACTGCTTGCCTGACCATGTCAGAGATGCCTGGAGAGAAGTAGTAGGAAATTAGCAGGGCAGGTCAGAAGGCAGATTCTGGAGGACCTAGGCTTGTGGAATGAATACAGCCCCCTTTATCTGTCCTTCACATGACTGCCAGCCTCATGATCCATGGTGGCAAACAGACTCACTGCTGGAGTTCTGACTGTGCATGCAGATTCTGATTGTGAGACTCAAGAATGCTCATGTTATAAAAACTCCACCTGGTGACAGAAATGGTTGAAAATTAGACTGTGGTGATGGTTGTACCTCACTAAATTTATTAAAGGTCATTGAATTATACATGTAAAATGGGTAATTTTATGGTATGTAAATGGCACAATGGTCAAAGCATTTGGCTGCTAACCAACAGGTCAGCAGTTCGAACCCACCAGCCACTCCATGGGAAAAAGATTAGGCAGTTTGCTTCCATAAAGATTTAGTCTTGGAAACCCTATGATGCAGTTCTACTCCATCCTATAGTCACTATGAGTCAGAATAGATTCAATGGCAGTGGGTTTTTGGTACAGTTGGGTTTTAAGAGGGAAAAAAAAAAAAAAAAAACCACCACAAGTGAGTCTGATGCTTAGCCAGGGCTTAGAACCACTGTTCTGTTGTCCACTGCACAATAAATGAGGGTCATGGTTGCGGTGAGATGGTGGGGTTTGAGTTGGACTGTTCGTGTTCATATTCTAACTCTACTACTTACTAGCTGTGTGACTATAGGCAAATTATTTTATGGGCATTTTTTTATTGTGAAATATAATCCATATAAAGATTATATTTATCTATATTAATCATTTAATATGATTATATCATTAATTTAATATGATTATATCATATAAATATAATTCATACTTAACCTGTTTGTGCCCTAGTATCCTCAAATGTAAAATGAGGTTAAAACATTAGGTATTTGAAATCCAAGATTCAGAAGACTGTTAAGAGAGCCCTTAATGTTATCCTTTGGAAGTCAAATTCACTAACCAGTCCAGGAATTCTACTTCAGAGGTATAAATTATTGACATTTCAAAGAACTGAAAGGGGGAAAAAAAAAAAAAAACTGAGAGGATTTCAGTGATTACAAACCAGGAAGCAATTGCTCAAAGATTAGCAGAAAATGTCCCAATTTTCAAAGGTCACATAGGGTACGAGTTTTCTGTTCTTGGTATGTCTCAGTTAAAAAACCACCCCTGAATGAAGTGAGCAGATAGAGTATGGAAGATAAAGACTGATAAACTATAGGCTTCTCTGTACAAAATAATGTTGGACTAGATTAATAAACAAGTACTGGGTGAGAAAAAAATTGCCACTAGGCGTTACTACCCATACCTTAAAAGAATTAACGTCATTTCATTTTTTGATACAGTCACTAGCCTGAAAAATCAAGGGAGCATTTTAGACACAATGTATCCTGACTTTAGGAAAGCATCTGAAAAAGGTTCCTTTATATTCTAAAGGGCAAAATATAGAAATGTGGACAGGATGGTAGTACTGTTAGGTAAATTCCAAGTTGGCTGGAAATTATCCCATAATTAGTAGGTTGCTGTTCACCTGGTGAAAGTCTCTAAGACTCTCTCAGAAACTCTTGGACTCATGCACCAGGACACAAAGTCAATCAACCCAAACCCACGGCCATAGAGTCAATTCCAACTCACAGGGACTCCCATTGGGTTTCCAAGGCTGTACATCTTTACAGGGGAGCTCTGGTAGCATAGTGGCTAAGGCACTTGACTGCTAACCAGAAGGCTGGCGGTTCAAACCCACCAGCCACTCCTCGGAAGGAAGGTTGGGCAATCCTACTTCCGTAGTGATACTGCCTCGGAAACCCAAGGAGGGGTCGCTATGAGTCAGGGCTGACTCGACGGCACATAACAACAACAACAACATCTTTACAGAAGTAGATTGCCTCACCTTCCTCCCATGGAGCAGCTAGTGGGTTTGAACCGCCAACCCTATTGTTAGCAGCCAAATGCCTTACAAAGTCAATCAAGTTAATATAATTGCCCCTCACTGGAAACATCTAAATGTCCATCAATAGCAGAATGGTGAATTGTGGGACAGTTGCTTAACAGAATACCATATAGCAATGAGAAAGCACAATAGCCACGGGCAGCATGAAAGAATTTCACAAAATTAAAGAAGTTAATAAATAGTAAGAATACACAGTATTAAAAAATACACAGTATTTAAAGTTTAAAGAAAGGCAAAACATTATTTAATCTAAACATTAGAGATGCATACATAGGACCTAAAGCTTTACATGGGAGCTCTGGTAGCATAGTGGCTAAGACACTTGCCTGCTAACCAGACGGCTGGCGGTTCAAACCCACCAGCCACCCCTCGGAAGGAAGGTTGGACAATCCTACTTCCGTAGTGATACTGCCTCGGAAACCCAAGGAGGGGTCACTATGAGTCGGGGCCGACTCGGCGGCACATAACAACAACAACAATAAAGCTTTACATAAAAAAGGCAAGATAATTATAAAAATGAAAAGTGTTTATCTTTGGGGAAAGTAACAAATTTTAATTGAGGAGGTACAAAAGGGTGGAGCTTCTGCTAGTATTCTCTCTTGAACCTGGTATTAGTTTCATGGGTGCTTAATTTAGGGGTATTTATTAAACTGGCCATGTATGTTATGTAAATTTTTCTTTACATGGATTATATTTCACAATAAAAAAATGCCCATACATAAACAAGCCCTTTTTTAACAGCTGGATTTTTTACATAGTTGTTTTTTCAAATTATTTCTAGTCCCCTTCTTGCCCAGAATCTTATGACTTTATGAAAATTTTATAACTTTTGTGTGAAAACAATTTATCATATCTGAATAATCTTTAGCTTTTTGCAAGAAGTCCTTAGAGTGAACTTAATTTAGCTGTCTTTACTCCTCAGTCAAGAAATTCTTATGACCACCCTCGTGCTAGACTATAGGTACAGTGAACAAAAATCTCTACTAGCTATACATGTTTGTGTGAATCTCCTACAAAGTTTATTATGTGCCAGGCACCACGCAAGGCAATTTACAAGCACAAATTTAATTACTCCTCCGGCAAGTGGTATTATCTCCACTTTACAGTTGCAGAATCTTAAGCTCAGAAAAATTAAATAACTTTCTCAGGGTCAAAGGTTGTGAGTGGCGAGTCCTAACTTATAAATTAAAAAAGTAGCTGGGATTTTTTTTTTCTGTTTGTCTTGCCTCCTCCACTGCAGTCCCCTTGGTTTGTTTTTTAAAGGAAGGACGGCGAGAAGCCCCTAAGGAAGTGTAAACAGCGGGATAGCCAGGTGAGAGTGGATCGGAGGATCTCGGAGACATTTCTCCGGGCCACTCGGAGAAAACACAGAGCAGCCCTCCGGGCTCCAATAACGACCCTTTTCTCCTGTTAACCTCCAAGCCAAACACTTGCTTCATCCTGTATTCACAGCCCCCTTCTGAGAAGGAATAGATAGAGCATTTAGCTTCCCACTGACCTGATACAGCCTTTACCGCACCGACGAGGATAGAGGACGCCATCTTGCTACCCCCACTACGGCGGCCGTGTTGGGTCTTAAAGCACCAAAGTAAAAGGAATAAAGGAAAAGGAACCGGACGGAGTCAAGGGAGGAGGGGAAAAAAATGAATGACGGAGCGGCCAAGTCAACCTTTATTAAATGTCCAGCTGCCTCCATTCGTCTACCAGTAGAGCCCTGAGTGTTGCTAAAATGCTGACATGTTACAGCTGAGCTTCCAGACAAGAAAACTAGGGAAAAAGGCCTGGTGACCTACTTGTGAAATTAGCCAGTTAAATCTTTGTGGATCACAATGGTCCCATCCTATTTTGCATAGGGTCTGAGTGCTGTTGTCTAGGATCTTCCAGAGTCTGGCTACTGGAAAGTAGCTAATAACAACTATGTATGTGACAGGCTCTGACTTCAGCACTGTAAAACAAGGGCCTGGAGAACAGTACTTGAAATTTAAAAAAAAAAAAAAAAAGGAAAAATTGCCATGGAGTTGATTTCATCTTACAGTGACCCCATAGGGCAGAATAGAACTGTCTCAACTCTTTACAGAAGCAGACTACCTCACCTTTCTCCCATGGAGTAGCTTCAAACCACAGACCTTGTGGTTAGTAGCTGCCTTGGACAATCTACTTCCGTAGTGATACCGCCTCAGAAACCCAAGGAGGGGTTGCTATGAGTTCGAGCTGACTCAATGGCACAAAGCAACAACCACCTTTACTATCGCACCACCAGAGTTCCTTTTGCTTGGCATATAGTAGATTCTTAATACATTTTTATTGAGCATATAATTGAACGTATTTTACATTTCTTTTGGCTCTTTTTATTAAATGTGAGAAAATAATAATTATCTGCCCCAACTGAAATATGTTAGGACAAAAAGGGTGTGTGTGGGGGGAACAAAGCAATGCTATTAAATATCACTTTGGGAAAATGAAATGCCAACATTTAAATGACTGTAAATATCGGCTATTTGCATCAGGCAAATCTGCTGCAAAAGACCTCTTTCAGGTGCTGAAGAGCAAAGAGGTCTCCTTGAAGACTAAGGTGCGCCTAACTCAAGCCATGGTATTCTCAATCACCTCTTATGCGTGCGAGAACTGGACAATGAATAAGGAAGACCGAAGAAGAGTTAATGCTTTTGAGTTGTGGTGTTGGAGAAGAATGCTAAGAGTACCATTAACTGTTAAAAGAACTAACAGATCTGTCTTGGAAGAAGTGCTGCTGGAATGCTCCTTGGAAGTGAGAATGGCCAGACTTTGTCTTACCTACTTTGCTCATGTTGTCAGGAGGAATCCTTCCCTGGAGAAGGGTATCATGCTTGGTAAAGTGGAGGGTCAATGAAGAAGGGGAAGGCCCTTATCAAGATGGATTGACACGATGGCTGCAACGATGGGCTGAGGTATAGCAAGGATCATGAGGCTGACACAGGACTGGGCAGTATTTTGTTCTGCTGTGCATAGGGTCGCTATGAGTCCGACATGGCTTAACGGCACCTGTGATAGTTGGAGCTGTGTGTCAACTTGGCTGGACCCCAGTTCTGTGTGGTTGTTCCCATGATGGGATCAGATGACTGAGTTCTGAGTGGCCAGTCTGCCCAAGGGGAGTTTCCCTAGGGGTGTGGCCTGCTTGCAATGATATCCAAGGACAATCTGGAAGAACGGCA